CTTTCTTAAATTGTATAAATTCAAACAAGGTTCGATTGACCCAACCTTCTTTCATAAGAAAGAGGGTGAGCATCTAATGATTGTCCAAATTTATGTCGATGACATCATATTTGGTTCTACGAATCCTAGCTTAACAGCTGAGTTTCGCAAGTTGATGGAGACTAAATTTGTGATGAGCTCAATGGGTCCAATTAACTATTTCCTTCAGTTAAATATTACACAGGGACAAGAAGGCATTTTTATCAATCAGGAGGCTTATACCAAAACTCTACGGGCGAAGTTTGGAATGGTGGGAGACTCTAGAGTGAAGGTTCTAATGGCAATCTCTGGATAAATGGGCTGCTGATATGACGCTCTATCGCCAAATGATAGGGTCTCTAATATATCTTACAACTAGTAGGCCATATATTATATTTTCTCTTTGTTACTGTTCCAGGTTTCAAGCCAATCCACGCGAACCTCATATGGTAGCAGTCAAGAACATTATCCGATACCTGAAGCGAACCTCATCTCTCGGCATATGGTATCCAACAAAGTCAGGATTTTTCGTTCAAGCATTCTCTAATGGTGATCTCAGAGGGTGTGGTCTAGATAGGAAAAGCACCACTGGTGGTAGTCAATTTCTGGATGGCAAAATCGTCAACTTTCAGTCCAAGAAACAAACGTGTGTATCCTTGTCCACAGCCGAAGCTGAATATATAGCTGCTTTATCTTGTGCTTTGCAGATCATTTGGATTCAAAGTTAGTTAATAGATTATGGCCTAAACATGAAGTGATTCCTACTCTACTGTGACTCTAAAAGCGCAATTCGAACATGTCACAACCTAATGCAACACTGAAAAACGGAACACATAGCACTGAGGTACCACTTTATTAAGGATCATGTGGAAGAAGGTAATGTTGAAATTCATTTTGTATGTTCCGCAGATCAATTGGATGACATATTCACGAAAGCCTTGCCTGAAGCAACCTTCAATAGAATACTCCAAGGCATAGGAATGATGGAAGCTGAATCAGTACCAACTCCCTCGCACTAATAAATAAGTGGTTGCGAACCATTGTGAACGCTCGCAGCCGCTCGCAATCAATTGTTCATCCTGTTTTCTTTATTGATGCGAATCAATGTGAACGATCGTAGGAGTTCATTATTCACTGTTCATTCGTAGTTTGGTCTCTTATATCCTTTTGTACTTTTTGTATATTTTTGTTTGTCTTTACTTCACTCCTTTTCTATTTTTTTTAATAAAAAAACCCAAAACCCAAAAATATTTTGTTCTTCTATATGTCTTTCTTTAATTTTTTTGAAAATTAAAACAACAAAAATATTTTCTTTTGTGTTTAGTTTTATTTCTTTTCTTTTTCACAAAAGTTTAAAATATCAAAAATAAATAACAAATCTCGTGACAACAAAAATCTAGATAAATTCTAATTCGCTTGATGGGGGCAGGTATCAACTTCATAATCTATGTATTAGCTAAGTGTCCCTAGAAGCATTTATTGTATGTTGTCCAAAACCTCACTTGACTCTATGTGAAGCCTTAATGAATCAAATCTACCATTTGTTTCTTCCTAATAAGGCTGTTAAATTCACATTAGTCATGAACTACCTTACTCTTATCACAATGAGTTAAGTGTTTTCTTCTTAGTCACTCTACCACAGCAGAGGTACATTCGCTTTCTCTGGAACCACCTCACTATTTCTCCATCAATTTTGTTTTCATCAATGTAACCCTCGAGACTCTCAATAATTACCACTGACATTTATCGTTAAGAAACATCTGTGTTGATGTTCTTAGCTTCGCATACCACAATCTAAGTGAAACCCACAATCCAACACACTTTAATGAATTGATGGTAAACATTTACAAGTTCTAGCTTTTCACCTACAAATTTACGAAATCCGTTGTATGTACCATCAAAACTATGTTACTTTTAGATCTTTATGAAGTGTTCTAACTCCAAGTCACTTCTTCCCAAAAGGATCATATTTTTATTTTTGTTTGAGATTTCAAAATATCATCCTGTGACTGCTATAACTACGAACCTTCTCGTTTAACTGACTAAACTAGTCACACGAGTAATCCATATGACATTTGTTCGTATATCAAGTTCATTCTATAGATTGGAGAGTAAGACACCCATTTAGGTAAAATAAAAGAACCCTTTCAGTGTTTCTTATAAGACATCTCATCGTATTTTAACAGGGAACCACACCAACACTTCTTTGTCTCTTGACTTCGAAGGAAGAAAATTTTTCCCGTGATTAATAGATTTATTTTATCACGATGACATCACACACTTCCCCAGATCTACTTGCTTTATTTCTTTATCTTTGACACTCTTGCACGAAGATCCTCGTGATTTTCCAAACGTCTTGTTCGTGGATCTCTATCATTTTTTCAGGTTTGCAGTTTAATCTAAGATTCTAAAAGGGCAAAGATTCATAAGAGTTGAACAACGAATATTTAACTGCGAAAGATGGATGATGACGAGGTAAATTTTGACGATAAGAATTCATAACAGTGTGTGGAGAATTTGAAACGGCCAGCTGTTTTTCTGTCGCATGACACACATGTCTGACATCTATAGTTGTCAAGTCGCGCTTTTTTAGGCGACGTTTCAGTACTTGATGCTTTCTCTCTCCGAAGTTTCCTCACAAATTAAATACTATATAATTATTTTGACGGTTCAAATCTCATTATCACTTTCAAAATCTTCTACAAAGATATTGGGCAAACAAATCGCTCTCTACTGTTCATTCTCTTATTCAAACCTGCAACAATGGCCACTTCATCATCTATTCAAGATCAAAGTGCTCATTCTTCTCTACTGGTGGTCAAACCTAATCAGAATCTTGTGATTGATCTAAATCCTTGCAAATATGAGCCGTATCTTCTATACATGATCGAGTGTGTCAAGTATTCACCATTATTCATGCTCTAACCAAAATGCAGGATGTTCTGATGTTTCTTCTATTAAAGGCATATTCTTCTACAAGCTAAATCAGTGCGGAGAACAAGATCATATTTGACATTCATGATCAAAAAACCTCCATCACCAAAGCCATATTTTGTTCCCTTCTAGGGCTTCCACAGTTAGAGGACATGGTTAATCAGAAACAATCTCCAGTGCTACTCTCCTGGAGATGTTTTATAAAATGAGATACAAGGAGTCCTTGTCTAGAGTTTCAAAATTCTGCAAGCCCAATCTTCCTCCTCAATGGATGCTTTATTCACGATCTTGTTTAAAAGCTTTTCTGAAAGAATTACCAGATCCGACTGTGCAAGTAAGTTATTCATGACTATTCTCTATGGACTTTACACAAGGATGAACATCGATTATGGAGCCGATCTATGGGCTCAGGTGGTTCAAAGCACTATCTCCTCGTCTTGTTATACGGAGATCTCTTGTGCAAGATTTTGGTCTCTAATAGCTCACAGGGCCATTGTCAAACATAATATTCCCTTGATACAGGATTCCGTCACATTCACAGTTTCCACCCTTCATACAACAGGGATTATTGTTGCTAATCCATCAAAGTTTGCATTTATTGGATCTATCGATGAGGTTATGTTTTGGGATGTTCCTGCTTCAACTAAACTCTTGGAGGGCTTTTGCAAAGTTACACCTTCGGGGTTTAGGCCACTTACTCCCGAGATGCAGGCAGTTCTGGATACCACTGACAAATCGAAAAAAGGCGGAAAGGGGTCAAAGAAAACGGTTAAGAAGGCTAGTGCTTCTAAGGGTCACTCTAGTGCCACAAAACCTTCTCGTCAAAAGCGAAAGGCACCTGAACTATCCACTACGACTGCTCTAAAAATAAGAAAACAAACCGCTTGTAAGCGAAAGGCTCCTACTCCCTTAGAAAGAGAAAACTCTGATTCTTAAATTGAGTCAGACCTTCATATTGAAACAACTCAACCAATTCCCAATGAGGAGGAAATATCGGTTCGTAATGAAGAGGCAGAGACAGTTCACAATCAAGAGCCTCCAGTTCATAATGAAGAAGATACTCCAAATTGAGAGGTACGTCCATTTGTTCATGACTCAGTTCCTTCTCCTCCTCTGTCTCCAACAACAACATCAGCCATTCCTATTACTATTGCACCCTATACACCACCTATTATCTCCTCTCAACCTACATCCATTCCCTTTTCAACACCCATCTTAACCACTTCAACTACCAATCCTATTACCTCAATGATTCATGACAGACAGTGAAGATGAAGACTTAGTTACGAAAGGTTAGTTAAAGGCTATTAATGAGAAGCTTGATCAACGGTTGTTAGCCTCCAAGGCTTCTTCTTCTTATGCATATTCAAAAGCAACAGTTGAATCCTTATTTGAGAGAATAATGAAGGCGCATGAAGAAAATGCAAAAAAGATGAATGCAACAGTTTCTGAATTTGCTGAAGTCTACAAATCCATGACCGAAAAAGTCGATAAAATAATTTCTGAAATGACCAATTTCATGGAGAATAATCGAACCACCTACAACAACAATACTGCCTCTATGAATGAATCCATTCAGAACATGGGGGCAATGTTCAAGAATTAGAAGCTAAACCTTGAAAAGATTCATCGTGGGCTGCAGCAAGACCATGCATCGTTCCAAACATATCTTACTTCGCAGTTACAAAGCTTCAAGAAGAATTGGTGATGGAAAGTAAAATCATGGATGCCCTTGCAAGGAAGACTGAAAAGGTCAATGTGTTAGATACAAAACTTCAACACTCTAAGAAACGGGTCTACTTTGTTATCAAAAAAAGGCAATAGTGTGAACTTGCATTACTGATGTTACCAGTTTTCTCTCTGATATCATTGAGACCAGGGACTCAATGATCTCTATTACGGTTCAAAAACACCTTGCTGAGAGGTTAAGCCCTGTCTTCACAATGTTATATCACCTGCAGGGTGTTTCTCCTTAGACTTCTGAACAGTAACAAGGGGGAGAAGGTGCATTAAAAGTTCAACCTTCGAAAGTCCTTGCCAATCCCATCATGAAGAACGAACCTAAGGGCAAGGAAAAACTGATTGAACATGAGCCAATCATTGATAATGAAGAAGATGAAGAGCCTGATGAAGCTGAACTTAAAAGGCGAAAGGCTCGCGATGCTGAAATTAATGAAACTCAGAGAATCGTCAAAGAGGTTAAACAAAAAGAAAAAGCAGAAAGGGAAGCTCAAGCCACTCTCAAGAGTAGAATGCTATTATTTCCAAAGTAGACCTTGAAGAAAATTTAGCATGATGTTGTGGAGCTGCCCAGCCAATATTGGTTAGATTCTATTGCATCTTTTGATCAAATACTCAGGATTTGCAACTTGATCTTCCAATCACTCCCAAAGCATTTAGGTTTCGTGCCTTTTGAAGGTTACGAATGTTCCTTTTACAGACATCAGTGCTGATCAGATGTTGTTCTCTTTTTACTTAAAGCATATGAAGCCCCAGTATGAAACCTGGAGTGCCCACAAAATCATTGATGTAAAGGTTATTGGCCCTATTGAAACTGAAAGCTTTCCGAATGCGAAGTTTAAGGTTGCGAGAGGATCAACATGTCAGACCTACGAATTCACTCTTGTAGACCTGCCTTGCTTGAATCCTAATGACTAGATCGTTCTCTACAACATGTTGCTGCGACAGAAGGATAAGTATGAACATGTAATGTCCTATCTTCAACTTATGATCAGATCGTATTTTCAAGAAGTTGGTTCAATAGATGTGGATATTGCCACAATTTTGAAGAAAAAGCCAATAGTTGTTCCCAAGGAAGCTCTGAAAGACTTGGAGAAGTTAAATCTAGTGAAGATATACAAGGAAGGATGGTTCGTGGTGTATCAGTCCATAAAACAAACGGGAGCAGACTTTCGCAAGTCATACTTCCATATTGAAGACAAACATATCTAGAACACTGCCTTTCTGGAATTTATATTGGACCTGATCACCAAGTTTAAGGGGAACCATCAATATGATGTCAAGTGCTTTTCATATATGCTTTTGTGGTACATCTATGTTCGCAAGTTGCTGCTGAGCTTCATTCCAAAAATTTACGAAGTAAAGAAGAGAATCACTGGCTGAAAGGCTACAGTTTCCATTGACGCAAATGGGGAGATTGATGAGTATTTACGTGTTGTGTCATTGGGCTTTTGCATTAGTCTAGTATGTATACGGTGTTGGGCATGTCCAGCCATTTATAATTAGTATTATAGTGTATATATAGTGCATGCATGCACCGTAGTAGGTCAACTGTTGATTTTTTTCGCTCTTAACATAATTCTAACCCTACCACACCTCTACAATTGCAATTCTTCATAGAGTTCTTCTGAGGTTGTGGCTTTTTAATCATTCAAAAAGAGTTTGATTCATCTTGTGTTCCTATTTAATTTGCGTTCTTGGTTTGCATGTTAAGAATCTAATCGATCTAAAAGACTTTTTAGTCTTATCAGGACTTATCGGAATGTTATCTTATTTCGTTAGTCTAATTCTAGGAAGCATTTCTTATTAGATTCCATTGTTGAAACTTCATTTTGTTGTTTTTTGTTTTGTAACTCTAAGTCTAGGATTCATTGGGTTTCAGGGTTGCAAAATTCACTTTTTCCTTAACATGTTAAGTAGCTAACTCCCAGCTAGGTTTTTCTTTTGTTTTGAAATTATTAACTATTTGAAACCTGAATTGCAACATTGATCGATTGTATGAAACCGTTAGTGCATAATTAATCGAATGAATGGAACATCTATCATGATTTAGAAGAAGCTTGTAAACCATCACAAGGATTTATCAGAAATGTTAGTAAACCACAACCCGACTGATCAGAATACAATTTAAAACTACACCTCGATTAGGAAGAATTCAAAATTCTCTTGTTTAGGTTTTAGATATGAAAAAAAAGAATGAAATCCATATACGTAATTAAATTCCACATCACCAAAACCATACATGTGTGACTGGCTCTAACAAGTATGAGTGCCCATAATGTTATTTTTTCTCAAAATTGGATGACTTACAAAAGAAATAAAAATCAATGGTTAAACCGATAAATTGTTAAAATATAGTGTTTTTATGTTATTTCTCTTTGAATTAAATAAAAAAATATTTTTCTCTACGGTCATAAATTTTATAGCTTTCTTAAATTTATTAAAAGTAACCGGAATGATTTATTATTATTTTTTTTGTTTATTTGGTTTATTATCATGATTCTTTTACGCTTAGGGTGTTAATCAGGTCAACCTGAATGGGATTCAAGTTAGTGTTGGAGCATGGAAATGCTTTACAAGTAATGAGTGATAGTTAGGTTGTATTTTTCCCTTTATGATATTGTTGGTGTATTACTCTCCCTCCTATATAAAAGGAGTGGTGGTCATTTTTTAAGTGTGCACTTTTCTAAAAATGTAAAATTCTAGAGAGAGAATTGGTGGGATCTCTCCCCCACCAAGGGAGAATCTTCTCCCCCTAGTTCTTTTCAGGTTCTTCTTCATGTTCTCTCTTTCTTTTCTTCTTTTCTTATCTATCTATGAATTCATATCATATGTTCTTCATGGTTATTTTGTGTATACAATAAATCTCGAGATATTATTTCTTTCACATCCACCGTTCGTATAGAAATGGGTTCTATCAATTGGTATCAGACCCGTACCTTGAAGGTTTAATTGACTAGTTCCAGGGAACGACTCTCGTTCGGTGATTATCTTGAAGTTTTTCTTGTTTTTGCAAGAATTTTCGGGTCCAAACCAAATTTTTTTTTGAGTTGTCTATTTTTTCTGGGTTGATTCAAGCTTAGAAGAATAATTTTGTTGCTGCTGCTCATTCGAATTTTCTACTAGAATTAATGTTCTTGATGTTCTTATTATTTTCCTGTTGAAGAAATCAAGAAAAATGGGAGAAGAAATTAATTTTGTG